GCTCACCACTGCCTACTCAGTGCCAGCCACTGACCCTGGTTGGAAGGCAGGCTCCCAGTTAATGTATATTGAATAAGTGAATATGTATTTCTTAAGTAAATTGAAGAGTACCTTGAAGAAGATAATTTATTTGTGCAGAGATGAGATACAAAGGCTTGAGAAAATATTAGGAGGTAGAAATGATAACTGACTATCTTAGAACACCAACCTGACTGAAGCTGTGAGAATGAGCAGGAAGGTTCTGTGAAACTGGCTGCTTTTTAACAGTAGGTTGGGGTCAAATTATAAGCTGCTTTGATTGCTGGATTTAGGAATTTGGGATTTGTTTTTTATATAATGTACAATTTTTCTGAACAGATGGTAGCATTGTTAAAGCAGTGCTTCAGGAATGCAATCTGAAGACAGTGCAGGCTGCAGTGAGGAAGAGTCTGGAGACCAGCTTTGAGACCAGTTGTAATGTTGGATAGGAATTCTTGGATAGTGGTCATGTTCAGTAAAATTATTAGTATTTCTTTATATGTAATATATTACATAAAAGTGCTTTTTAAATCCTAGTGATTGAACATAATGACATGGCTATCTTTTTCAGTATTTATTTAATTTTCCATGACATTTTGTTATTGATCTTCATGGCTTTTCTATGAGATCATGGTATAAATTTTGAATACATTTGTTCTTCCCTTATTTGCCTTTTGTTAATGTCAAGCATGGCACATGAGACAGTCCTTGTTGCTATGCAACTGCTAAATCCAATATTTAATATTAATAAAACTGAGTGGCATTAAGTTCAGTTAACAGAGGGTAGCAAAATATGGCTTTACAGTGTCAAATCAGAAATATGTGTGAGGTTTAATGTATTGTTGCAGATATGAGCAAAAGAAAAGTGACTTGTTTAAGTTAGTATTTTGATCAGTTACTAACTTTATGACCAGATTTTTTTATTGTTTCATTTCGGTCTTTCCTTTTCACTGCTTTTTGCTCTGTAATTTGGTTTTTATTACTGTCTGTTGTGTGATGAAGTTTTTTTCTGTTTTCTTATTCTTTCAGGTTCCATTGTCCTTTGTAATTTTTAAATTTTATCTTCTAAAGCTTTGTTTTGTTTTTGTTTCCCAATATTAGTTCTTGCTGTATTTACATTTTTCCTTTTCAAGAATTTGTGCTTAGCATACAAGTTTTGAATTTATTATGATTTCTTATAAACTCAGGTGAAAGCAAATTAGATTTGCTCTTCAGGATAAGAGCCACCTGTAATATCATTTAGCTATTTGCATTGTGTACTTGGTACTTTCAAGATACTGAAATATTTGTAAAATCAATTCCTTTGGGGGGGCGGGGTAGGAGGGTTTTAGAGTTGGAGGCAGCCTGTGGGATTTTTTTGTTTTTTTTAAGGCTAGTGTTGGGAATATCTAGTTTGCAGAGATAGATTGTATCTAGCAAGTCCTTTTCATTCTCTTACCTACCACTGCCTCTTCACCCTCAAAAACCTCAATGCAACCCTTTCTCCTCTCTAGTGTGGGGAAGAATTTAGTAGAAAATGTTTTAATTGTAGCAGGCAAATAATAAACAGGCATACATACTTCCCAGTTTCTTAAATGGGTAGTTTGATCTTGCTAATATTCTTGGAATAATTTTGATGGGAAAGAACTAAGGAGAATTGAAAAACAGTTGCTCCTTAATAATAAGTGGAAAGTCTAGAACAGCCGTGGGCAAACTACGGCCCGCAGGCTGGATCCGGCCGTTTGAAATGAATAAAACTAAAAAAAAAAAAAGACCGTACCCTTTTATGTAATGATGTTTACTTTGAATTTATATTAGTTCACACAAACACTCCATCCATGCTTTTGTTCCGGCCCTCCGGTCCAGTTTAAGAACCCATTGTGGCCCTCGAGTCAAAAAGTTTGCCCACCCCTGGTCTAGAACCTAAAAAATAGTGCAGAAAAATCAACTCTCTAACTACAATGTAGATAACACAAACTCTAGAGCAGTGGTTCTCAACCTTCTGGCCCTTTAAATACAGTTTCTCATGTTGCGACCCAACCATAAAATTAATTTTCGTTGCTACTGCATAATTGTAATGTTCCTACTGTTATGAATCGTAATGTAAATATCTGATATGCAGGATGGTCTTAGGCAACCCCTGTGAAAGGGTCGTTCGATTGCCAAAGGGGTCGCGACCTACAGGTTGAGAACCGCTGCTAGAGATTACTCTTTAATTATGGCTTAATGCGAAGGACAAAGAAATTCCTAAAATTACAATGTTATTCTTATAGCCAAATAAAATACTGTTCCCAGGGACCATCTTATCTGACCCCTTATCTTCCAAACCTTTCATGGTAATTGAATTCGTGGTAAGGAAATGCAACATGTGTGTGAACCTCAGGTATTCCCTGGCTATAGTAATTAATTAATTAATTTCTGAGAAAGAAAGGGAGAGACAGAGGGAGGGACAAAAGGAGGGAGGGGGAGAGAGGAAGAGAAAGAGAGAGAGGGAGAGAGAGAAACATCATTTGTTTACCTTCCACACAGGGAGAGAGAGAGAGAGAGAGAGAGAGAGAGAAATATTGTTTGTTTGCCTTCCACATGGACCCTGGACTGGGGACAGAAACAAAACCTGGGTATGTGTCCTAACCAGGAATTGAACCCACCACTGACAGACACTCCAACCAACTGAGCCACAGGAGCTAGGGCCTGGCTATCCTATGTAATAAAAGCCTAATATGCTAAGTGTCTGGTCGATGGGTCAGCCGTTCAACCAATCAAAGCGTAATATGCTAATGATATGCTAAGGCCACTCAACCACTCGTATGACGTGCACTGACCACCAGGGGGCAGACAGTCCACCGGTCGATCAGTTGCTATGACGTGCACTGACCACTAGGGGACAGATGCTCTGACTGGTAGGTTAGCTTGCTGCTGGGGTCTGGCTGATTGGGACTGAGTGAGAAGGGCCGGACACACCCACGGTCCCTCCTTGGCTGGCCAACCTCCTGTGCTCCCTGGCCGCCCCGATCGTGCACCAGTGGGGTCCCACCTTGGCCTGTGCCCTCTTGCAATCTGGGATCCCTCGGGGGATGTTGGAGAGCCAGTTTTGGCCCGATCCTGCAGACCAGGCCAAGGGACCCCACTGGTGCACGAATTTGTGCACCGGGCCTCTAATAGTATTTTAAATTAGTGCTTCACTCTCTTTTGAACATAGGAGTTGAATATTAAAAATTATAAAGCCTTAGGTGATAGTAGAGGGTGACAAAATACGTAGTGCCCCTAACTACTAAGAGTTCAGTAACACTTTTTATGTTTTCTTAATTATAGTAACATTTCTATGCATTTGAAAAGTAGTATGTACATTAAATACACAAGACATACTAATTTTTTTCTAAAGGTCACACTTAAAGTATACATGAATACATTTGAGCTCCCAGTAAGGCACACAACACATAATTTGGGAACCACTACTCTAATCCATTGTTTCTGTCATGTTGTATAAAGATACAGTCTGATACCCTTCCTCTTTTTCCTCCTTACTCTCTTAACCCATAGACACCAAGATGGCAAAGATATTTTTAAATTGCTTTTTATTGCTTTGATCACCAATATTTGATTAAATAAATCAGAAACTTTTTTTGTGTGTGTTTCATTTTCTACTTTATACTGGTACAAGATGATGCTAATTTAAATATTTATGTATAGGTATATTTAATTTTTTTTCTTATTTTAAAAAATATATTTTTTTTATTGATTTCAGAAAAGAAGGGAGAGGGAGAGAGAAACATTAATGATGAGAGAGAATCATTGGTCAGCTGCTTCCTGCAGGCCCCATACTGGGGATTGAACCCACAATCCAGGCATGTGCCCTGACCAGGAATTGAACCATGACCTCTGATTCATAGGTCCACCTCAACCACTTAGATACTCCGGCTGGGCTCCTTTTTAAATTCTTTATTAGAGAGTGGAAGAGAGGGGAGAGAAACAGAGAAACCTCAGTGTGAGGTAGACACATCAATTGGTTGCCTCCTGCACACACCCAACTGGGCTGGGGATCCAACCTGCAACCTAAGTAGGTGCCCTTGACTGGGAATTGAACCCTAGACCATTTGGTGAGTGGGCCGATGCTCCAACCACGGAGTTGCACCATCCAGGGCTCTCATATTTTTGTATGTATAATTAGTGGGTTCTAACTTCATAAAGGAACCAGTAAATAGTTAATTGTGGCAATGTGAAATCACAAGTGTTTTTCTGTTAAAATGTTATATAGTTGCTTTTTTCTATAGTGATATATTGGTGTTCTCAGTGAGGATTTTCTTTCTTCAAAAAACTATTAGCTTGGCCCAGCCGGTGTGGCTCAGTGGTTGAGCATACCAGACCTGTGAACCAGGAGGTCACAGTTCAATTCTGTCAGGGCACATGCCTGATTGTGGGCTCAAACTCCAGTAGGGGGCTTGCAGGAGACAGCCCATCAGTGATTTCCCTCTTATCATTGATGTTTTTATCTCTCTCTCCCTTTTCCTTCCTCTCTCTCAAATCAATAAAAGCATATTTTTAAAAAAACTATTAGCTTGAAAATATGTTGTCTCAGTTGATTTTAGAAACATACTATTTGATTAATCCAGACTGTTGTGGAAACTTTGAAGCAGTTTGACTCTTACTAGGAAAGGCACCTTTTAAACTAGACTTTGAATGTTTATATAAAGAGGTATTTGGGATTTGGGAAGATGGTAAGAGAACCCATGAGTTTCCATTCCTTTATTAGTTATTTCTAGCAATTGTCTGTTTTATATAGTTCTTGAATGTGCTCTGAATTTGTATTGAATATTAATCATTGATAAAAATGCAAAGCCTTTTTTTAAGATTTGTCGTTGACACTCTTCCCTTAGCATCTCTTCAGTAATAATCTGGGGATCCTTGAGAACTGGAGGAAAACCCTATCATTTTTTCATGTGATGGATTAATATTAAATTACAATAGGGAATATTATAATAATGGATTTTTTTCCATCCTTTCAGGGTTTGAAAGTATTCTTGAAGGGCTGTTTGGACCTGCATTTTTAAAAGATCTCAGTTTATTTAAAGGTATTCAAAATATTTTTTTGTTATTTAAAAATCATCCTGGTGACACGATACCTTGGTGATTTTAGCCTCTGTCTTCTCCTTTTTATTCATAGTTTTGTTGGTTAAAGCTATATCAATGTAAGCATCTTTTTGTGTTTAGTTAATAATGCAAAGTATATGTATGAAGAAGGTATATTAACTAGTGAGCAGTTGTTAAGATTTTACATAAATAGGAACCTGTCTACTATTAAGTAAAGTTTTTTTGTTAAAATAATATTTTTGACATTCTCATTTGTTTCCTGAAAAATCCTCATCTGTGACTATTAATTTGTTATTCCTACTATTTTTGCAGACTGTGAACCTGAAAGCATTTCTGATTGGACTTTTGATGAAAATTGTCTATTCTGTTGCTTGAGAAGAGATAAAGTAAAGGTAACCAAGAAACTCAATGAAACTTGTCTAGTATATTTTATGGTTTTTATTTTTTCAAAATTTGATTACTTTGGTGGAGACTTATAGGAAAAGAAAGGTATGAGTCTGTATCTATATATATAAAAGGCTAAGCGACTGGCCAACTGGCCAGTATGTATGACACGCACTGACCACCGGGAGGCAGACACTCAATGCAGGAGCTGCCGAGCTGCATTGACTTGGCAGCAGCGGTTCTTGGGTGACGCACCCCAGAACCAGAGAAGAGGGAGCCTTATTCCTCACAGGCCGCACAATTCCACCTTCGGCCGTGGATTATGTTGTTGCTGGGGCACTGTCACCCAGAATCTGGTTTACTGCTGAGCTGCGGTGACTGCAGATGCCCTTCGAGCTGTGGCACAGTGCTGCCCAGATGCAGCCGGTGGGGAGGGACCAAGGGAGGCTGGCTCCAGGGCGTGTCCAGCCCGTCTCACCCAGTCCCGCCCCACTGGCCACCTTCTAATCAATTTCCTTTCAATGTGCATGAATCCATGCACTGGGCCACTAGTTTATTTATAAAGGATTTGATGGTAACTCAGTTTGCAATTTAGTGTTTCTAGTCTGTTGATTAGCCTTTTGAGAAATCTATAGTCCAGCATGTGTTGCTTTTATTCATATAGTTCACTAGGCAGAATAACTAACAGGGTGTCAGTTAATTATTCTGCCTAGTTATTTATTTTAAATATGAAGTGTATGGTAATTCAAGTAATGGGAGTCATTTGGACAAAAAGAATAGCAACATGGATCTGGATGAAGTAGCTACTAATTTATGTAGATTTATGATAGATTGTGGTTCCTTCTTTAGTATAAGATGTTCATAATATTTGAGCATGAATGCTCTTTTTATTCAACTGCAGAAATTGGCTGTACCTTTGGGTTTGTGCTTTGTTTTATGTTAAATAAAAACATAAGTAGAATTTTGGTTTAAAAACATTTCAATTGTTGGAAAAATTTATTAGTAATGGTTTTCTGTCTTCATGCTACTTCTGTCCCCAGTTTTAAAGCTTTGGAAACATTTTGAATTCCTTCCTCTGCCTTGTACATGTCTAGCTTTATGTCATTGACCAGGTTATATCAGTTGTTCCCTCACCAAATTTCATCCCCTCCCCCACCCCCCATTCATCATTGTACTTCAAGCTTTTAGCATTATTTCTGAACTACTGAAATAGCATGATTCGTCCCTCAGTTGTCTTCAGTCTGTTAAACACTGCTACAGGCTTGACCCTCACCCCTCCATAGTGTGGGAATGTTACCCTGTACTGAGTCTCCAGTGATTTTCTCATTGTCTTCTGGGAACATTAACCTAACACTCAGTGACTCAGTGCCCTCCACAGTTCATTTTTCTTCCTAATGCTGTCCCACTCGTGTTTTGTATATTTTTCTTTTAGCTAAACTGGTCTGATAATTTGTATTAAACAACATGCTTTTACTATTTGGATTACAGCATTGCACTCCTGTTATTCTCAATAGCTTGAATCCCCCTTGCTCTTACTCTTGCCTAAGCCCCTCCTTTCCTATGAATGGCAAACCTTTGCTCTTATTGCTGTTTCAACCCTTCACGCTGTTGCAGTAAATATTATCTATACCAGTTATTTGTCATTTATTACTCAGTATTATTTCGTGCATCCTTTTCTATGTTTGAATCTTGTATTCCTGACTATATTGTCAACCTCTGAAGACTGTGAGCCATGTTGTATGCTTCTTTTTACCCTTGCATGTAGCCTTGTACCACTATTGTTGACAAGTGCATTAAAATCTGAAAGCAGGTTTTTTAAGAGCTGCTCACTGTTCTTTGGTGGCATGTTTTTTTCTGCTTACTACATGAAAAAGTTGTTGTGACTATTCATGGTGGTCTGTTTTCATTGAATTAATGAGGAAAGTGTTTTGAAATTTAGTGTGGTTTGAAAAAGAGAGACCAGAGAATTAAGCAACCGCCAATGAAGTTGAAGTTCATCATTTTAAACTGTGTATGTGTTTGTGTTGGTATGTTGTGACTATTTACTGAGCAAGTCATTTAATAGAAGGAGCAGCTATTAGTTACCTTTTTTTCAGGGTAGTATTGAGCAGAAAGCCCTTCTATGTTTAGTAGTTGAGTACAGTACATTCTTGTAATGTGATTGAGTTTTCCATTGCTATATGAGGGTGAAATATTGACTGAATATTTTTAGAAGAAAATACATAAATAGCAAGGTATGGGATCATGTAGTTTTAAAACAGCTGTTCTTACTGTTCTACAATTTTTAGTTGGTTTTCTAATTAGAATATTTCCAGTTGACAACACATTTAGTTCTGGGAAAGATGCTTTTTGCCCTTAGACACCTCACTACCTGTACTTGGTTTATTTTTTTTCAGAGACAGCCATAACATTTATAATGGGAAATAGGAAGAGAAAGAGCCTAGCCCTAGCTGGTTTGGCTCAGTGGATAGAGCGTTGGCCTGAGGACCCAAGGGTCCCGGGTTGATTCTGGTCAAGGGCATGTACCTTGGTTGCAGGCTCCTCTCCGGCCCAGGCCCTGGTTGGGGCACATGCAGGAGGCAACCAATCGATGTGCTTCTCTCACATTGATATTTCTTTCTGTCTTTCCCTCTTTCTTCTCCTTTCTCTAAAAATCAATGGGAAAATGTTATTGGGTGAGGAGAGAAGAGAGAGAGAGAGGAGGGAGGGAGGGAGGGAGAGAAAGAGAGAGAGACTAGAAAATGAATTGTCAAGCACATATCTTTAGTTTTGTTAGATTTAAAATGATTGTGCTGGAACTCTTTGCAGGCACTTGGAACATTTCATCTGAGAAGGACTGTACTCCACTGGCTTGAGGCTTGCACTTTAAGGCTGCTTTAGGATTCCAAAAAAAGAAGGAAATATCAGGAGAGTATGGTAACAGCTAATAGGTGGCAGCAGAGCATGCTGTTGGAATCTTGTCTGAGGTTGGCATGATGAGAAAATCGAAATAATGTTTGGAAAACCTGTTAGAAATATTTGACATTTGTGAAAGAGGAGGGAGCTGTGCATTTTTTTAGTTATTTGAATTTTTAGTAGATACTGAAGCTGTTAAAATGGATAAAAAATATATACTAGTATTATTATTTTTTTTTAAATGTAGGTGAAAAATACAAATTCACTTCTTAGGAAAATAGAACCAGGGATTCACCTAGAGATTACTAAAAAAATTGTTGGTTTGCACTTCAGGATCCTGCAACAGTTAAAAAACACAGTTGACACTTGAACCACACAGGTTTGAATTGCATGGGTCTACTTATATGTGTATTTTTTTTCAGTAAATACCTGTACTGTGTGTGATCTGTGGTTGGGAGTCCACTGAGTATATGCATTGATCTACATCATTTTATATATAGGACTTAAGCATCTGTGCATTTTGATATTTATCAGAAGGAGAGGCATCCTGAAACCAATTCCCTGCAGATACCAAGAACAACTTAAGTTTAAGGGGAGTAGAAAGTTATACATCAGCGGTTCTCAACCTGTGGGTCGCGACCCCTTTGGGGGTCGAACGACCCTTTCACAGGGGTCGCCTAAGACCATCGAAAAACACATATATAATTACATATTGTTTTTGTGATTAATCACTATGCTTTAATTATGTTCAATTTGTAACAATGAAATTGGGGGTCACCACAACATGAGGAACTGTATCAAAGGGTCGTGGCATTAGGAAGGTTGAGAACCACTGTTATACATGGATTTTTGACTCCGCCAGTGGGTCGGTGCCCCTAACCCCTGTGTTCAAAGGTCAGCTGTATAATTTTTAAGGGAAAGGTAACTAACATCTTTTGAGCATCTACTATGTGCCTGTTACTTATATTTGTTCCCATTTAATTCTTACAACAATCCTATAAAGTTGGTTAAAGTCATCTTAGTTTTATAAATAAAGAAATAAGAAAGTTAAGGGTGACTAAATTATGGGCAAAGTCAAATACCTGGGACTTGATCCATTTTTTTAGAAAACATTCATTTTGATAACAAAGCTAGGAACAGGAATATGGAAAATGGAGAGCAAGAATTAAGTAGGACTTAGAATTACTCCGTTTGAAAGAGTAGTAGAATATGAGTGTAAATAGACATGAGTTTATTTCAAATAGACACTCATCTATGTTAAGAATCTGTTAGTAAGTGAATGCCTGCCTACCTGCCTGGCTTGCTTTTTTCTTTCTCTCCTTCCTTTTCTGTTTGTTGGGCACATAGTAGGCACTCAGTAAAATATTTACTGAACTAGTGACCCAGCGCGTGAAATCGCACGAGACCCGGGACCCCGAGTCCTGCTGGCGCCTCCCAGCGGTGCCAGCGGGACCCAGAGTCAAGTCCTCGCTCACCCTCGTGTGCCTTGCCACGCACACAGCCTCCTGGTGACCGGTCTTTGGTCGTTACGGCATTGCGACCACTGGGTTTTTATTATATAGATAGCTAACTATTTTGAATGCTTACATGTGCCAAGCATATTTACTCATGTGTCTTTTATATGTTTTTTTAGCTTTTCAAAAAAGTAATTTTAGGTTTATAAAATACTTGTAAAAATAATTCCTGTATGCCCTTTACTCAGAGTCCCCAAATATTAACATCTTGTGTAACCACCTACTGTTAAAAAAGTAAGGAAATTAACGTTGATGCCATACTATTATCTAATCTGCAAGCCTTTTGAAATTTGCCAGCTATCCCAATAATGTCATTTTTCTGGTCCAGGATCCAATCTAGCTCACGCTTTGTATTTAGTTGTCATGCCTCCTTAATCTCCTTTAGTCTGCGATGGTTCTGTTTTTCTTTACCTTTCATAACATTGACACTTTTGAGGAATACTGGCAAAATGATTTGTAGAGTGCTCCTCAATTTAGACTTGTTTAATTACTCCTCATTATTAAATTCCACTTAAGCATTTTTTGGCAAGAATTTCACAGAATTGATGTGGTGTCATCCTTAGTGTTCTATATCAGGAAGCATATGGTTAATGTTTTCT